CCCGCCCCGGTGCAACCGTGCCTGCCTGCCAGCCAGACCGCTTGCCCCGGTGCGAGCGTGCTTGCTTCCTGCCCGTCCGCCCCCCATGCGTGCCTGCCTGCCTGCCTGCCCGCCCGTCCGCCCACCCAACGCCTGTTTGACAGCCCGACCGCTTGCCCCGGTGCGTGCATGCGTGCCTGCCTGTCCGCCAGCCCGCCCGTCCACCCGCCCGACACCTTGCTGCCTGCCCAACTGCTTGCCCCGGTGCGCACATGCCTGCCTGCCTGTCTGCCCATCAGCCTGTCCGCCCGCCCGACGCCTTGCTGCCTGCCCGACCGCCCGCCCCGGTGCATGCATGCCTGCCTGCCAGCCCGACCGCTTGCCCCGGTGCGTGCGTGCCTGCCTGCCTGCCTGCCTGCCTGTCCGCTCATCCACCGGTACCCCCGTCCGCCCGCCTGATGCCTTGCTGCCTGCCCGACTGCCCGCCCTGGTGCGCGCGTGCCTGCCTGTCAGCCCAACCACATGCCAAGGGGCGTGCGTGCATGCCTGCCTGTCCGCTCATCCGCCGGTACCCCCGTTCACCCGCCTGATGCCTTGCTGCCTGCCCAACTGCCCGCCCTGGTGCGCACGTGCCTGCCTGCCTGTCCGCCCATCTGCCTGTCCGCCCCCCCCTGGTGCCTTGCTGCCTGCCTGACCGCCCGCCCCGGTGTACGCGTGCTTGCCTGCCAGCCCGACCGCTTGCCCCGGTGCGTGCGTGCCTGCCTGTCCACCCGCAAGCCCGCCCGCCCGATGCCTTGCTCTCTGCCCAACCACCCACCCCGGTGCACGCGTGCCTTCCTGCCAGCCCGACCGCCTGCCCCGGTGCGTGCGTGCCTGCCTGCCTGCCTGTCCACCCGTCCGCCCGCCCGATGCCTTGCAGCCTGCTTGACCGCCTGCCCCAGTGCACGCATGCCTGCCTGCCAGCCCAACCGCCTGCCCAGGTGCGTGCATGCGTGCCTTCCTGTCCGCCCATCCGCCCGCCCGATGCCTTGCTACCTGTCCGACCGCCGGCCCCAGTGAGCGCATACCTGCCAGCCAGCCCAACCGCCTGCCCCGGTGCTTGCATGTGTGCCTGCCTGTCCGCCCGTCCGCCCATCCGATGCCTTGCTGCCTGACCGACCGCCCGCCCCGGTGCACGCGTGCCTGCCTGCCGGCCCACCCGCCTGCCCTGGTGCTTGTACGTGCCTTACTGCCCCCCTGTCCGCCCATCCGCCGGTACGCCTGTCCGCCCGCCCGATGCCTTGCTGCCTGCTCGACCGCCCGCCCCGGTGCATGCATGCCTGCCTGCCAGCCAGCCTGACCACTTTCCCCGGTAGGTGCATGCATGCCTGCCTGCCTGTCCGCTCATCCGCCGGTACCCCCGTTCGCCTGCCTGATGCCYTGCTGCCTGCCCGACCGCCCGCCCCGGTGCGCGCGTGCCTGCCTGCCAGCCCGACCACATGCCAAGGGGCGTGCGTGCGTGCCTGCCTGTCTGCCAGCCCGCCCGTCCACCCGCCCGACACCTTGCTGCCTGCCCAACTGCACGCCCTGGTGTGCACGTGCCTGCCTGCCTGTCCGCCCATCCGCCTGTCAGCCCGCCCGACACCTTTCTGCCTAACGGACCGCCTGCCCTGATGCACGCGTGATTGCCTGCCAGCCTGACCGCTTGCCCCGGTGCGTGCGTGCCTGCCTGTCCACCCGTAAGCCCGCCCGCCCGATGCCTTGCTCTCTGCCCAACCACCCACCCCGGTGCACGCGTGCCTTCCTGCCAGCCCGACCACCTGCCCCGATACGTGCGTGCGTGCCTGCCTGTCCGACCGTCTGCCCGCACGATGCCTTGCAACCTGCTCGACCGCCCGCCCCAGTGCAACCTGCCTGCCAGCCCAACCGCCTGCCCAGGTGCGTGCATGCGTGCCTTCCTGTCTGCCTGTCCGCTCACCCGATGCCTTGATACCGGTCCGACCGCTGGCCCCAGTGAGCGCATGCCTGCCTGCCAGCCCGACCGCCTGCCCTGGTGCTTGCGTGCGTGCCTGCCTGTCCGCCCGTCCTCCCACCTGATGCCTTGCTGCCTGACCAACCGCCCGCCCCGGTGCACGCGTGCCTGCCTGCCGGCCCAACCGCCTGCCCTGGTGCGTGTACGCCCGTCCGACGGACGGACGGACGGACAGATGGGCATACGGACGGGCAGATGGACGGGCAGATGGACGGGCGGACGGACGGGCAGATGGACGGGCAGACAGATGGACGGGCAGATGGACGGACCGGCAGAGGGACRGGCAGACGGGCAGATGGATGGGTGGGCATACGGACGGATGGGCAGACAGACGGGAAGATAAACGGATGGACGGGCAGAAGGACAGGCTGATAAACGGATGGATAGGCAGAAGGACGATCGGACTGGCAGACGGATGGGCAGATACACGGGCGGGCAGACGGACTGGTGGGTGGACGGGCGGGCGGGCGGACGGGCAGACGGACGGGCTGGCAGACGTGCGGGCTGGCAGACGGACGGACCGACAGGCAGATGAACGGACGGATGGGCGGACGGAAGGACAGATGGACGGGCAGATGGGCGGGCGGACAGACAGGTGGATGGACGGACTGGCGGGTGGATGGACGGACCGGCGGGTGGACGGACAGGCGGATGGACGGGCGGGCGGGCGGAAAGGCGGATGGACGGACGGGTGGACGGACGGACGGGCGGGCAGATGGACGGACGGCCAGACGGACGGAAGGCAGGTGGGCAGACGGACGGACTGGCAGACTGATGGGTGGAAGGAATGATGGACGAGCAGACGGATGGGCAGATGTACAGGCGGGCAGACGGACTGGTGGGTGGACGGGCGGGCGGACGGGCAGACGGACGGACGGGCAGTGGGACGGGCAGACGGACTGACAGTCAGACTGACAGGCGGGCAGACGGACGGATGGGCAGACAGAGAGGCAGACGGACGGGCGGAC